AAGCAAGTTGAGATTTAAAAGCAAAGCGATCCCCGCACTGCATTTCTAAGGATTTGATTTTGTTGGAGGTAATAGGTATGAATCCTCCCTGAGAAGAAGGGAAGAAAGGGGAGTCGCAGAAAGGTAAGACTGATGGGCAGGGCCACAGAAGCAGACTGTGGAAGATGTAGTGGCAAGGAGCACATATTTCAGTGAAAGTAATGACCTTGGGCACAGCGATCACTGGCAGCCCATTAGGGGAGGAGAGATGAAAACACTTAATACCTGGAAAGGAGACAAGGTGGTTTGGGAGACAGATGTGTGTGTGTGTGTGTGTGTGTGTGTGTGTGTGTGGTGGTGGTTCAGAGACACTAAGTGAGAAACACCACGGTGAGGGAATGGTTGAGTGGAACATGCCATGGGAGGTCACACAATGCCTGGAAATGCCAAATCTTAGACACTCCAGAAAGAGGGGACACAGAGTCTCTCCAGGAAAAGAAGCCAGAGCTCCCATGTGGCTCCTCCTTGTAGAAGGATGAGTGAGTGAGTGAGTCAATAATTCAGGGTGAGGCACTTAAGGCCCACAGCATGATGTGGCTTTACAGCAGGGCTCATTCAAAGTATTGGCAAATGATTCATTCCTTAAGTCCACACATTTAAAGTTGGCCTTATTTCAACTCATACCATAAGGAAGCAGAGAGATGCTAATGATAATAGCCTTAGAGGGGTTTGGAGAGAGCTGGGGTAGTGGGAGGAGTGTGGTGGGGCTCCTTCTTAGGATAGTCCAATAGCATGTCTTACTTTGGTCTCCAATAACCATAGGTGAAACAAACCCAGTAAATGGGGTTAAAATAATATCATCAGAAGCCATACTAGATTTTGTCCTCATTGACCTAATGACTTCATTACCCAATCTTAGTTCATCTTGGCCACTGGTCATATATATTTTAAAAATCCTCAAATTACTAGGTATACTTTAAAAACAAAACAAAAATATACCTTGACGTTCGAAGTCCCTGTTTTAAGAACTGAATCATTCACAGCTCAATCACATTTTTCACACACTTCATATCCAAACAGAAAAAGACATACGTATATCTAAACTTTGATAAAATATCACATTTCCCCCAGCACCAACCCACTGCCATGGAATCAGTCTGACTCTGATCAACCCTATAGGGTGGGTTTGAACCAGCAACTTTGTGGTAAACAAGCCAAATCTTAAACCCACAGCCCCACGGGGCACCTTTAGATTTCCAGAACCTGGTTCATTTATAATTAGTAGAGGACTAGAATGGCTATACCTAAAGCTGAACTGACTGTACATTCCAAAGATGTTGATCTCATTAATTTCCGGGAAGAAATTTCAAGAGTCAATTATCATTATTCTCACTTTTGAAACGAGAAAAACTAAAATCTAGTAATATTCAGCAGCTTGTCCCAAAAGATATAACTCAGAGGCCATGGCATAGCTAGCGCAGAGACGGAAGTGGGTCTGTCACCGCTCTAGGCACCCGTCCTGTGGCCACACAGCACAGAACAGCACACTGAAGCCATCACTTTCTGTTTCAAATTATCAATGTGGCAGCCTCTGTTAGGCAGACCCCGAATCAGAGGTTTACACTGCAGTTCAAGGCTCCCAAGGGTGCACATACCTGAATGCGGGGGTGTGGAAAACCCTGATAACAGTAAAAATTTTCTGAACTCCCAGTGACTGAAAAGTCATTCAAAATCAAAGGAGTCCTAAATCGAAGAGCTAGATGTCATGCTTTGAATTGCCTAACAAGAGAGTTAACGTCATTAAAAGCCATGTTTGACTAGTATGTTTATTGTTACTCTGATTCTTCAGCTAAGGTATTGGTGTGTTTGATTGAGCCACAGCCAAGAATGGAACTAGTTCAGATGATTATAGTTCGAGGACAACGGACGAAAGTGGGCCTGGTTCGGTGTGAGCACGGAGGGCCTCTCAGGGATTGTTGGAGATCGAATGGCAATGGCAATTCTATTTATAGGAAGGCTAGACAATAGCAGGCAGTCAACCATTTGTACCTGTGTCCCACGCCAGTTGACTTGGCCCTCAGCCTCATCTTTCTTCTCTTGTGCTCAGACTGCGAATGTACTTCTCCCTCCACTTGGCTCTCATGGTTCAGAGGTTTCTAACAAGTTCCAGTATACCCACTTTATCTACCGATATCCCAGGGCTATGTACAATTTCTCCTGCACAAAGGAGGTCTGAAGTGGAAAGGTTTAAGAAGCCCTGTGCATGTGTCCGGATTGTCTTGATGGTAAATAAAAATGAATGGGGTCAACATCAAGCTGAGCATGTGGGACACAGGTCCTGAATAGTTGAACAACTCTGCCTGCAAAGCAATGGAGAGACACAACACGTGTGGGGGCATAAGAAAGCCCCAAAGATTCATGGTTGACTGTGAAGGAGTCTCTGGTCATTGTGCTCTCAGAAACCTTCACTGTTGCCAAATGTTTCAGCACCCTCAGAATTGAGTTACACGACCCCTTAAGGGATCACACATCAAAGGGTAAGACACTGTGGAACTGACAGACAAATTCACCTCGGTAACAAAGACTGATTAGGTTTTTTTCTCTTCTTCCCATGGTTACCCACTCATCTAGTCTTCCGTGTATTTGTTTACAATGGCCAGTTCCCTCCGTACTATAAATCCTTCCAGTCATAGCCATCACTGCCCTTCACTAGGGGAAAATACAAAAGGAAAACAACTATTGCACACATTTAACCAAATGCATTGAGGTTAAAGTTCCTATTACACCCCTGGCAATTCAGATCAACAACTTAAAAAGAAAATTTCATCATCCAAGGTACAGAATCTAAAACTGAAGCTCTCTGCTACCTTGTTCCAAGCAAGTAAAGATTGCTTAACGAAGGCTTCTCATTTGTCTTCCATGTCTATAAATTCTCTATTCATTTTGAATGCTTTTACTGTCCTTTGTCTGTTTTGGTCAATTAAGTGTTTGTTTGCATTTTAATCAACGTTCGTCCTGAGTGTTGTACTGTAAACGGTGGCAAAAACTTTCAATACACAAAATTCACCAGATATTTTCAAACTTACTTGCCTGTCATTTCATCAAATCTTCTAAAAGAACTTGCCTAACCAATTGCAAGGGAGGCACAGAATACCCCATGGTATCCAGTCAGGAAACCCTACCATTTCTCTCAGAAAAACACACACCACACTGACCAGTGCCTCCTTCAATAGTCAGAGGTACATAACGCAGTGGCCCTCATCCATAGCAGCTTAAAGTGAAATACAAAAGTTAGCTGGGCATGTGTTCTGAATTAATATGTGGAGATTACAAATTTCAAAAGAAGTACTGTTTGTTTATCTGTTTGTTTGCTTTAAAGCATTTCAATATAATTTCCTTTTGGAAAGGCCGCCTTGTCAGAGCCTTATTCAAAACCAAATCAATGGGAATTATTTAGTTGTTTTTAGAAAATATTTTCATTCTCACAAAAGTATCATTTTTACCTAAGAACTACTGGCATTGTGTCTCTTGGTTGACTACTGTAAGCCTGTCCATTGACAAAAGATGGATGAGTTTTTTCAAAGTCCATCAAGAATGAATGAAAGTAAGAGCTGGATTCTTAGTCAAAACACTGCATGATCTCTGTGCTCACCAACACCCCCAACCTTTTCTTTTCCTTTAAAGAACATAACAACCATGTAAAGTGAGAATGAGTGAAATCTAACTTACATGCAGTGTAGATGATGGTGCCGTTGATGACAATATTATGGCAAAAGAAGAAGAAATGACTCAGGTATACACTTGCACTCTTATCTACTGTTTTTCAGGCCAGTATATAAATATATAAGTGTTTTCTCCGGACTAGAAAAAAACAATCCACATCCTTAGAAATCGTGAGCTATACCTTCCTCTTTTCACATTATACTATCAGTCAGCACTCATAATATATAGCGGCACTACAGAATAAATAAATGAACAGAACAAATGTAATCTAGGTTTATACAGATGCCCACCAACAAAAGTAAAAGTGTGTGTTTTCACCTTTAATAAGCTGTGGTGGAGGGGGTGGGGTGGGGCTAAGGGGCAGGGATCTGTGGAGTGGATAGCAAGGATTCTTCCTCGGTTACTCAAAATTGAAGCAATCCTTCACAGACGTGCGTGCTGTACCTCAGTAGATCAGAAAAAGAAGAGCATACAATTGACAAAACATCAGAAGTGTGCACTCAATGCAGAAAACCTCTGCTTATACTCTAGAATCCCAGGAAATCTTTAAAACTGGATGAAAATGCATTGTACCCGGTCACAGACTAGGCGTGGAGAAGGGATACACGGGAAGTGGGGGAAAAGCCATGCTCTCTTTCTGTGCCCCTTTCAGTTCATAAGCACCCAAGAAACCGCCTGGCAAAAAATCCAACAGAAGCGGACTCTGAAAACAGCCTCATATTGACTCTCATAGACCAACAAACAGATGCACTTCATACTGACCTCTCTTCCCACCGGGTTTGACTTACGGGACGGTGGGAGTATAAGATGAAGAAAACCAAACAGATGGCTGCAGAACAGTTCACAACGACCATCAAAATACTGAAAACACCTTGAATGTCTTACGTTATAGACCCAAATGGCTCCGTCATTTCACTTGGCAGTCTTGAAAAACCAAGTTACCAGGAAAAGTCAGCAAAGAATACAGCATGCACGGGCTTTCCTTACAAGACTAAAATATCAGCTGGCCTCAGGAGCCCACTCCAATCCACTCCTTAGCTTGTTTCCTTAATGAGCTACAAGGTCAATGGACACCAGGAGATTTTTCATGGACCAAGGAAGGCATTGCTCACTGCCTTCCGGCTTCCCTGGGCTGGCTGGCTGAGTCAGCCTCTGTAGAAGGGCAAGTGTTGCAGATTACACGCGGGACTTCCTAGGAGCGACAGCTTGATGATCCCCAGCCCAAATCAAGGTGAGCAGTTCTCCATCAACCACACGCATGGACCCTGAGCATCCGCAAGAAAGGTCGCAAGCCCTACCTTTCCTACATAGAGGGGGTCAGAGCCCATGTACTCCTCCAGCACAAAGAACTGATTCCACACCCAGCTACGCTTGGTCCGGGGCCTCCCTGCCTGGAAATAGGGCTTGGAGCTGGACCTGGAGAGCTCCGCTTGAGTCATCCCAGAAAAGCAGAGGACAAGAGCGATGAGCTGCAGAAGATGGCAGAACTCCACTTTGCCCAGCTTCATCTTTTGTTTTCTTTCTTCCGTGCTTTGTCCTGTGTAAGGAGAAAGAAAAAAAACAAACAAAAACCCTTGACAAGGGGGCAAAAAAAAAAGGCACAGTTCCAGTTGGCTTAGTAGCTCTTGCCTCCAGCAGGGTGTCAGTCGGGAGTCCAGAGATGATAATTTGTAGAGTGTTTGAGTGGCAGAGGTCACCACTGCCGAGGAGTCTTGGCCAGAGAATGGTGTCAGAGGTACCTAAGAAGACAAAGAGAGGAACTGGTGTCAGAGACCAAAATGCATGACCGCTGGTGGCCTCCATTCACTAACGTCACACCGCTCTGTCCGGCTTTCATAATCGGTATGGACATTAAAATCTCCACGATGGGCTGAGATCGGAAATGACAACGCTGCCATCGTATTTGTAAATGACACACTACACGACATGCTGAGGCCGACTGTGCCCCTGTTGCATGTGACAGCCTGAAAGTGTTGCATTCCTTCTAGGACATTGTCTTGGAACATATGGTTGACTCAACACGAAAACAACAACAGCATTAAAAAAAATAATTTTAATGCTTGCCTTCCCCCCGCCCCTTTCCCCTCGTTATTTGCCAACAGTTTGACTTGCTTGTGTAAGGACTTGAAAGACAAGCAGCTCCAGGCAGGGCTTTCTGGGCAAGGGGGTGCTCTCTGCAGATTTAAATCTCCTCTTTGAAACTGAGAAGGGAAAGCAAGAAGGCCAGGGAGACTCCAAACCAGCTCAGGATGTTTTCATGGATTCTGATTAGAATTTGCTAAGCTGAAAAGGTGGGGAGTTCCCCTGTTCCACACTCCACAGTTCCCATCCTGGATGCTGTCTAACGTGTTAGCTTATGTCTTCTTGTTTTTTAATGGCAGTTATTTGCTATTCCACAAATAAGTCTTAACATCGAGCAGTGTGCTTTGTGCATAGTAGATGCTCCATAAAGATGGATGGAATTGGATTGTATTGATCTGCAGAGGAGGGGAGAAAAGTCAGCGCCATTTGGGAGCCCAAGCCCTTGTTATCATGGAGCCCAGAAGAACACAATAGCACCTTTCACAATAATGCTGAATTCTCCCTGTTACAGGGCTGGGATGATGTCAGAGTTCGGCAAGCAGCTACAGAATTGAACTTCCAAACACCCCCCAAGACACCCAGGGATAAGAATGCAGGACGAAATGAGCACTGTGGTCACCACGCTGTCTTTGGGTTTATGAGTTCATTTCACAAGTGTTAAAGACATCAACACTAGAATAAGTGAGGATAAATATAATTATTTGCTTATTCTTGGGTTGTTGCCATCGATTATTGCTGCTTTTGAGTTTTAGGGGTGTTTTCTAGTATAAGAAATAAAAATAGACACTGATTAAAGAAGGTGAAGTCAGAGGGTAAGTTCCTGTCAAAGCAGAATGCACATGATCCTCACCTTGGGACTAACATTTTCCATCTCTCCATCTGTATCTCTGTAACGTGGCTCTGTTCCTCATTAAACTAAGAACCCTGACAGTGAAATTGCTTAAGAGAAATAGTTAATATAACAGAAGGAATGAGAAAGGGAAAAGATAGGCTCGGGCACGTGTGTGTGTGTGTGTGTGTGTGTGTGTGTGTTTCATGTAAGGAGCCAGGTGAGCATTGGACTGCTAATCCAGAAGTCAACAGTTGAAACCCCACAGCTACTGTGCAGGAGGAAGGAAGCTAAGGCTGTCAGCTCCCAGAAAGACTCACAGCCTCAGAAACCCTATCTGTGTCACTATGAGTTGGAATCCATTGGGTGGTCGTCGGTGGGTAGGACATGAAACACATAGGCACACACTAGGGGACTTGAAAAGTACATGGAAAAATTCTCCTTCACTCCCTTCCATATACTCCATTCTGACTCACAGTGACCCTACAAGGTTAGAGTAAAACTCTGTACAAGAGCAGAAAGCCTCTGTTTCCCCTGCAGAGAAGCTGGTGGGTTCAAACTGCAGACTGTGCAGTTCGCAATGCAATACATAAATGCCTCCAAGGCACCTTATCACAGTATCAGCATCATTTAATCCCATTTTCCAGGAACTTTTTTGAAACACGTATATGGATATATAAACATGGTATATATAGTACACAAAACTGCAAGGCACGGAGGCACTGACTTGGAAGACAATTTAAATAAACTGATCCATTTAAACAATATCTCTAGAGTTTGGCACTCCAGAGGGGGAATCCAGAATGATACAAAGCTTCTTCAAGTGGGGGTGGCGGGCCCGAGGACACATGCCTCAATGTGGAGCTGTGAAAAATGCAATGACAGTGACAGGGTTCTGAGCATACAATCACCTAAGATGAATTCAGAATGAGGAGCTGATGCCAAGGGCTCAAGTAGGAAGCAAATGTTTTGAGAATAATGAGGGAAACAAATGTACAAAAGTGCTTGACACAATGGCTGGATGGATGGGTTGTGATAAGAATTGTACGAGCCCC